ATCCCCTCACTTGTCTCCTAAAAGATTTGACGAACCTGCACTAAAGCACAAGCACAAGCTCAATGTTGTCTAGCTCTTCATCCAATTCATGCTCAAAGAAGCCAAATGCATTCTCCCTTTCCTCTATGTTCTACTCTGCAAATCTGACAGTGAACTACATTTCAAAGTCGACAGCAACCCTGCCAACACGATCTCCTCCACTTCTCACACTATAACACCAAGACTAAATGTGGCATCATTAACTTCTTCCTAGGTACTCTTTGTATCTGCAGTAGGGAATTACTTGAAGAATGCTCATTCCTGAAACTTCATTATCCCTGTTCTATCACAGATGCAGTAAACATTCAACTTGACTGGATGGAAATAAATGGTATAAAATAGACATGATAGAAAAATAAACACAAAAGCAGTATAATGTGAAGATCTGTTTGTGACTTGATAAAGCCCTGTGTGTGTGAGAAACATTGTCAATAAAGGATCACATACTGCTTTTGGGCTGTATAGTCCTTGTGGCTTAGCGCTTCTTTTTGATTATAATAATAAATACTGCTTTTGTGTTTATTTTTAACGTGTCTGCAATATTTTCTCCACCAAATTCCAAGTATCCACCCTGAAACAAAGATGATCAAGAACATCATCAGTAAATGACAAAGTCCAAACCACTGCAGGGGTTATACCACATTCCTTCCCTTGCAATAACTGACAAAATCAGAGACCTCCACATTGTGAATGCCAGTAGAGCAGGATCCTAGGATTATCATTGCTGTATAGTCCTTGTGGCTTAGCACTTCTTTTTGATTATAATAATAGGATCATCACTTGTTAGCATATCCATTAACATCAACCAAAACAGCTTCTACAACATTGGGGAGCTTCTTGCCAGGAAGGTTCCCACATAGACCATAAGTATAAAAGAACAGAGGAGCACTGCAGTAGGCCCACTTCCCAGTCATATTTGTCCAACCTTTTATTAAGCTACCCAAAGTATTCTTCAGCACATCTAGCCTAACTCATAACCTCACTATTTCCTATATATAGACTGTCCTTTTCTCCAGGTTTATGTTTATAATTTGATAAAGCCCACTGTGGGGATGAAATGTCATTAATAAAGGACCACATACTGTACTGCACTTGTGGGTTCAGTGCTTGATTTTGATTATAATAATAGTAAGACTGTAGGAGAATCGAGGGACATTTAGCAGTCAAGCCACTTGTCGAACCTATTCTGCACGTACACTTGATACAGACACTGACACACCTCGCCACTTCACTTCTCACCTGTAAAGTCCTGTCTCTTGATAAGTTTAACCCAGAGCAGAGCATCTATACTAAAGGCTTGTTCTCTTCCAAGTCTTCCTAACATACTTGTTGGCACTACCAATAAATAATAATACAGTATATCACTAAGGATTGCAGTATTAGTGTAGTAATTGTGCAGATAACAGTATTATTTTTTTTTTATATAACAGTATTATTAAGTGATAAAAACAATGGTTAATTTGTACTCTACAGACTGAATGTGGACCCAGAACACAACCCATACTACCAGAAACCATACGAGGGACCACTTCACATTCCAGCTGACCCTTATGACAAGCCTGACCCTTACCAGCCAGACTATCAGCCACCAGCACCCAAGCCTTCATACAAACCACCACAACCAAGTTACCACAAACCAACCCACAAACCTACCTACCGGAACTAGAAGAGCTGGATATACCGTCGTTACAACACTATTGCATTTGCACTAGTTATACACTGTGTGTGTGTATATATATGTTTCCCCATAGGGGGTAATATAGCATGTGGAATGGGAGGTAATCAAACCTGATTCAAGCAAGTGGAAGATAATGCCATTACCTTGAATCATGAACCCTTCACCTGCATCAAGGAACCACCATAAAGGGTTTGCCACTAGTTAGTGTAACATCACCCTTTTCTATATGTAGAAGCAAGGTATTTTTTTTTTTTTAATTGTATTTATTGACTAATCTGAAATATATAATGATTAAATTTTTTTTTTATCTAAATCCTGAGAGTTATGAGAAATCCCTTGACATTTACATTCATTATTATAATATTACATTCACCGGATCAAGCCCAAAAGTCACTCAGACTGCATGGTGTGATATGTAAGAGCAAAGTGTGGAAGAATCATAGTTGAAGTAAACTGGTTCACTATTTTCTGGAGAAGCACAAAAGGAGCCAACCGTGCCTTGAGAAACAGGAGGTAATCACATTTGATACAAGGAAAGGATAGTTCAATAATGAAGGTAGTCAGCTCATATACGGTAAAAAAATATGATCACTAACGCACTGCTGGAAAAAGTCAAAATGCAACTCCCTAGCAAGTGTGGAAGGGCCTGAACAGCAATAAGTTTCTGCCTCTATACCTTTCTTTTTTTTTGAACAAATGTGCTTCTGTTACGTCCAACTTAATAAACTGTGTAACTACCTACTTGCAAGTGTCAAGAGGGGTAAATTCCCATTATTTGGCCAGTTTCTTAGGTTCAAATGATAGTTAATTCCTGGCAATCATACTTATTTAAGCCACTAATTTTTTTCATGTACTTGGCCAGGTGAAGGCCACACACAGGCAATAAATATGTAATGTTTAACACACATGGTGAATAATGAAGTAATTTGTTTAAATTCATAAAATGTCAATCCTAGCATATGCCACTGTTATACTAATCTGAACCCAGGAAACTGGTTTGGTGTTATATACTTGTCCCTATGTCTGACTAGTAGTTTCTCTTCCAATTATTCTCTCTTACCTTGCTCCGAATTGGCAGTATTTTGCACTTACTGGTGCTGAATTCTCAGCCATTTATTTGACCAATCTGCCTGTTCAGGGTCTCTTAGGTTTCTGTGGTCATCTTCTGTTCATGTCCTCAATTTTGGACTCTTCCATAAACAATGACATGTACGAATATCAAATATGAATAATAAAGATTATTTATTAGACCAAACAGTCTCTTGGTCTTCCTTATTCTTAAACTGTATTCCTGTTTAAGTTTTTTATTACTTTTTTTTTTTTGCCTGACCATTTAATTCAAGAACTTACTCATTAGTTTTTAGCAAAAAACCACTCTTGATAAAGCAGTCCTACCCTTTCTTCCTCTTATACTCCTCCTCCTAATTAACTTAAAACCCCATT